GCCAGCACTGTTACATTGCCAATCCCTTCTCTTCTCTTCTCCCTTCTCTCTTCTTCTTCTCTTCTCTTCTCTTCCTCTTATTTCTGGCCGGCCACACTGTCAAGAAATACCTCACTATGTAAGGGTGTTTTGATAGGGACTGGAACATGAATAGGATTGACAGCCCAATCCTGCATATTGATAGATGAAAAGAGATCTTGGCTTGGAAGTTGGAACTGAAAAGAGATCTTGGCTTGGAACATGATCATTTCCTAGCAAATCATCATTTGTTCACAGGAACTGAAATGTTGTTTGCTTGTTGCCATCTAGACTTGCTTAACAAATCTAATTTCATATATAAATGTAAATATTTCAAGGCATAATATGACTGCTATATGGTATGCTCCAGACAAGAATTTTATTCTTTAATTGTTTGCTATCATCTTGATAGCATATTTATTTGCAAAAAATATATGCAATGAAATCCTGCTTCTATAAATCCATGCATGAAGTCTAATATGCGGGTTTATTATGTGCTATTTTTTATGAGTTTTATTATATACTAATTTACTGAGTAATTAGGTTTCATATTATATACTAATTTGAAGGCATAGCAATTATTTCATTTTTTCGTCTTTTGGGTTATTGGTTTTTAAGGCAAGGATTTGTGAATTCAGGTTGGTATCTTACTTTTTTTCTTGAATTAGGGTTTATGCTGTTTTGGGATCTGTGCCCTGGAAAATGGAGAATCAGAATGAAGTGTATCGGTTAAGTTTGTACATGTTGAGGCTATTTGGCTTTGGTGATATCTTGTTTCCAAACTTTTGGAATTTGGGATGATATATAAATGCAGCACTTGGTTATTGTTGAATGTTGACTTGTATACTTATGCAGAATTCTGTTTTAAGTTAGATTTTTGAAGGAATTATGAAGCCCATGGACTATTGTTTATCAAAAAAGAACCTTGTTGGTGGTTCCTTTTGAAGATTTTTTTTTTATCAGCAAAAAGAACTGAGAAATTTCTTCTTGAAGATTTGAATCTAGCCCCTTTTTAATTATATAGGCAAAATTGTCAAGATCCAGTAACTGTTATTCTTAATGCATTCCTTAACATCACTTGAATTTTGTATCTTATTTACTTCTCCATGAAGAAGAGTAGAGTGATACAACGTCTGTATTCCTAAAACATCATGTTAGATTATGTCTTACATTATCAACATATCTGATCTTGTATATGAACATCTTGTTCTACCTAGCCCAGGTGTTGGACAATGAGATGGTTGCATGGAGGCTTTTGAGAATTAAATTTTTACCATGATGCCATTACCCTGAATTCCTGATGTAGTGTTTACTGCATCTTTCCTTTCTATCCTCCCATTTCCTGTTATTATCATTTTTCCCCTTAATATAATAAATTCCTGTTTGTCAGCAGGGAAGACAAAATTATAGATACTATTATTAGACTACCATCAATTTGTGATAGATCAACTAGATATTCAGGTTTGCTTTCATAACCCTTTAATCACAAGATGATTTTGAAATAGCATACACACAAAAGTATCTCTTCATATGTCTTTATCTGCCAATTATGTGCTGATGGGGAGGTTACATGTCATATGCCTTTAGGAATGTTTCTGAAACTATTTTCTAGACTGTAATTGCAAGCAAACTCAAGTTTTAAGGTGGAGTTATATGAAGTTAATGATAGGTTTCGTTCTTTTCCCCCAAATTTTGCCCCTTTCTCATTACCCATGAGTACCGGATGATCCTAGAATGTTGCAATCATATATTACACATTTATATGCAAAATTTGCAGCCAAAGATGTAGAGTAACAAATAAATTGTAAAGGAAAACGTATTACATAATTGGTTTGTTCTTCTTATACTGGTTTGAGGTGGTATCAGGTTTGAAAATCAACTTAGCCAAGGGTGAGATGCTTCCCATTTGAGGTGTTTAACACAGAGGAGTTAGCTGAGGAACTGGGGTGCAAGGTTTGCCACTTCCCCTCCATATATCTGGGTCTTAAGAGCCAAATGTATATCAAAAAGCATTTGGGATCCAGTGTTGGAAAAACTGGAAAGGAAGCTAATATCTTGGAAATCAAAATATTTATCTAGAGGAGGAAAACTAGAACTTATAAAAAGTGTCTTGACCAGTTTGCCGGCTTACTATATGTCTCTATTTCCCATTCCAGAAAATTAAAACCATGATTTATATGGTTTACATTATAAATCGAACATAGCAAATTAGCAAGGATTTGAAAAAATAATAATAATAAATTATATAGCAACGATTTGAAAAAAAAATAATAAATTATATAGCAACGATTTGATTCACAAAATGAGCTAATGAATAGCAAATTAGCAATTGATCAAATAAACAAAAAATTTATACCTTCACCGCCGCTGGTAATGGTGGTGTCACAGAGAGAGGAGAATGAAACCGCCAGTCAAATATTCTGTTGGGTCTGGTCGCCGGTGATTAAAACCGCCGCTGCAACTAAAGACTCGCCGCGGAAGTGAAAAAAAGCCAAAAAACAGAGCTAAAATCGCTGCAACTAAAGAACTCGTCGGTCGTCGCTGCAAAATCGCCGGTCTCCGGTCGCCATAGATCGTCGGAGGTCGGAGGTCAAATGGGCTCAACCGCTCAAGTGGGAAACAGAGAATGAGAGAGAAAATAAGGTCGCCGCTGTAAAACCGCCGGTCGCCGTAAGTCGTCGGAGGTCAGATGGGAGTGAGATGAGAGAAAGAAAAGAAAAAGAGGGAAAATGGGAAAAACCGAAAACCCCTAGCCCCTTCGATTTGGGAATTGGGACTCAAGTGGAATTTTTTTATTTTTTTATTTTTATTTAAATTGCCAAAACATAACCCGTGAACTGCTGCCCGGGTCGAATGGTGTTGCGGTTCGACCGCGCGGGTTAGCAGTTCTTTGACATTTTCAATGGTTTTTCACAAACAACGGTCCAGACTAAAAACAGACCCAACCCGGAGTCCTGACCATTCTCAGGTCAAATGGTCCAATCGTCCAGTCTGGTCCAATTTTCAAAACCTTGGCTCAAATTGAAGGTGACCACAAGACACAAATTCGGTGTTCAACACTTTGGTTTCACATTCACCAACCTCAAACTCCACCATCTCCGTTCTTCTCTCCTAAGGCTTCATTCATTTACCATTATCTTACTTATTTAAGTAAGTGTTTCCTAAGTAAAATTTATCCAATAAAGTTTATTTACCCATGTTCTTTTTGTTGAAATTTATCCAGGTAAATGAAGCAATCTAATTTATCCATATTCTTTGTCTCACCCGCTTTTTTGGGTAAGAAATCCATTTTTTACACTATTGCCAATACTACCCTTTTGTTCCAAATGAAAAATTTTTGGACGTTTTGTTTTATAAACCTATGTAATGGGTTATGATATATCCATACCATATAAAAAGGAACCAATCAATCACAAACCAATTTTTTGGAGGAAATGATGAATCAGTTTTCATGTTTCAACAACCAAGTAACAAACAACAAAGATATGATATATAATCTGAAAATTATTTGGTAGTTTTCATATCTAACATTTCAACATGTTTCGCAATTCTACAACAAGTTTGGCAATACAATAACAACTAATTTGTTCTTATAACTTGGTGGGAATGGAATTTGAAACCATCATTGTCCAAGTTTCATGAATCTCTAGGGGCAAAGGCTTTTTATATGTAAATGAATTCAGAAAGGTATGGAATCTAAGAATTGAAATGGGTGGTGGTTAGAATGTGTAAAGTGAACAAAGTTGGGAAATGGGTGGAATGTGTAAAGCTATAGTTACTTTGATTACTGATGTTGATCAAATACACAAGCCCGCCATTGCTAATATAAATTAAAGGTCAATCAATGCAGGGTCGGAGATGGAAAACTTCGTAATTCCTTGTCATTTTCGTTGAGTTTGAGACCAAAAGAACACTGGTTTATATAATATGCAACAGGTCCAACTCTTTGAAATGTTGAATAGTCCCTAGGGCTATTCAAGAGTTGCAGACAAGCAAGCCCTCAAATAATTGAATAAGAATCAAAACCTAGCTTATAGTTCTTTGCAAGGAAAAAAATAAGGGGAATAGGAAGACTTACCAATGGACTCAGTAGAAGCTTCTTCCATGAATCACAGAAGATTGATTTAGTAGACTGATTTGCGATCCGAAAACTGTAGAGGTATGGGGTTTTCTTTGGCAATGGATGTTCTTCCTGAACAAAAGGTTTGGGGAAGAAGCCAACATTTGCCCTAAGCTTGTTAACAGGGGTATTTTCGATTGAACAAAGTCACTCCATGATGGGAAAGTAACTTACCCACCTCTGAGGTGGGTAAGATTTTCCCAGGTAAATGACCAAAATACTTACCCAGGGAATCTGTATTTCCCATGGGCCCCCCATGCATTTGCAAAAGAACATGGGAAAGTTGGTCAACTTTCCCACCTCAATATAGGTAAATGAACGGGACTTAAGAAGTAAGTTTATTCTCTTCCTTCCCTTTCCCCAGGTGTGTTTCATTTCTTTTTTCATTCTCTCAAAATTAGAGGTAGATTGGTTGTAAAGAAAACACAAAGAACATAAAAGATGGTGGAGATTCTTAACTATGGTTCTATTATCTATTGAGAATAAAATACGTTGGGAATAATTTATAATTTTTTATATCTATAAATATAAAAACCAAAAAAACAAAGAATCGAACCAGTCAAGAACCAAAATTGATCAATCAGTTAACCGATGGTACTAGTTCAATTTCAATTTGGGGAATTTGAAAAACCAATGGGACTAGTTTGTTTCAAAAAAGATCCTATAATTTGGTTATTCGAACCATGAACATCCCTAACAACAACAATAGGTAGGTAGGGGTGCAAGTCAGGCAGGTTGGACTGGGTTTATGGTCAACCCAGACCCGGCCCTAAAATTTGGGCTTAAGGCCCGAGCCCGAGGTCAAGCCCAATTTTCCCAACCCGAGCCCAGCCCACCCTATAATTTGATGCACTTGGGTTGGGTTTGGGCCCGGACCGAGCTCGGGTTGGTAAATGAACCCACTCTAAAATTATACATATATAAATGTATTTATGTAAATATATATACATATATTTATATATGTATGTAAATATGTATGGAAAATATCTATACAAATGTTATATATACAAATATGTATGTATATATGTAAATATATATGCAACATGTACATATATACACACATATATATATATGTATAAATGTATATAATTGGACCGTGCTCGGACTACTTAAGGGCTAGGCCCGAGCCCCGCCTAAAAAATAAAAAAACCCAACTTCTTGGGCCCGAGCCCAACCCGAGAAACAAAAATCCAAGCCCGACCCGTGTAAAATTCTGGGTTGGGTCGGTTCGAGCTCGGGTTGGGCCCGCCCGAGTTGCACCCCTATAGGTAGGGTTTAGTATGGATTTACCTCGACTCTAACCCAATTCTTCGGTGCATATACTCGAAGACTAGAATGCAATTTATGTGCAACTAAGCCAAGCTAAGCTGAACTTGAACTTGTCTTGGCTTGGTTCAACTAAAATACTAGTAGGTTTGATTTCGAGTTTAATTTGAACTATATCTTAGAGTTCAAGCTTGGTTCAATTAAATATTTGATGAGTTCAAATTCAATTCAAAACCTCGAAAATGAATATATGTTTATATCTTTTAAATATATATGATATATTTTTATAATATATATTGATGTTGCACAATCCGGGCACTCCTAGCTGGCGGACGTTTGATTCCTAGCTAGCGATGGACGGTACCTGAGAAGAGGAAGGTGAAGCATTCCCGGGGGACTTGCCCGGTGGGAATACTTCGATGCTTAAGTTAGAACACTTGAGAGAGCTGTAAGGAATCCAAAGATAGCTGAGAGTGTAGATCGCGCGAGATCAGTTAAAGTTTAGTTACCTTCGCCCCTTCTAAATTTAGGGAATATGATTCCCAGTTGGGAGAAGGTAGGAAAATTTTTGAAATTCGCCCACCCATTCCGCAACCTTTGTGGCGTACATTAGATGGATCCTACCATTCTTTCATGGGTATCCATACATTGTCTTTCCCCGGGGCGGTAACCAAGATGATGCTCCTTCGAGCTCAAGGGGAGCTTGGGGGCAAGCTCTGGAGGCCTCCGGCGAGATGGCTTCCACCTCCCGGGGTAGGAATCCGGACAACTTTGGTCCTTCCTCCATGTCGATGGAGAGACTCAGGACTTTGGTTATTCAATTTAATCTCCCTAGAAATCTCATCTACAGTCTCCCATCTGTTGACTATCCTTGGGAACACAGTCCCGACGAGATCATGATCTTCCAAGAACAGCTCATCGCTGGCCTTCGTCTTCCTCTGCACCCTTTGATAGTGGAGGTTTTGAACCACTTTTATGAGTATTGTCTTCCTCTTGACCTCGACATCTTCTCCACCATTCTTTCTATCAAAATGCTTCCCCCGGAGCGCCTCTGGAAGGGCGTTCCTACTACTTTTCTCCCTGTCCTGACTTCAAGCTCTTACACGAGCTGCCGAACAGGATCCCGGCTTGGAAGCAGGATTATTTTGTAGTTCGCAACCCCGAAGGGTGGCCCTTCCCAACCCATTGGAGGGCCGCCATCCAGGATTTGGGGGCTGACTTGGATCCAAAAGTTCGGGAAACGCTGCAATCATGGGTAGCGGTTGACTTCCATTGGTTGGACTACTTGACCGAGGACAAGCTCGCGCAGGCCAGCCTGAGCCCCGGTAGGTTGCCTTTTAGGTCGCGCAATGCCTTGTGATTTCTTTTATTTAGTTGGACTAATGCCTTGTGATTTTTGGCAGCCAACATATCTGGTGTAGATGCGCACCGCCTTCTGTCGAGCAACCAAAAGCGCATGGCGAAGAGGTTGCGCCCTGATCGAGCTTCCACTTCCAGGAGCGCTGAATTCGAGGCTGCTGATCCCGCCTTCGTTCCACCACCACCTGAGGTCCCACCGGTCCCATTCGAGGGAGTAGCCACGGAGGGTGGCGCAGAAGAATGCGAGGTCCCGATGCAAGGGCAGTACCCTCCGTCTAAGCAGTCCCACCCCTTCGCCTTCCCGCAGTTCCCTACTGAAGGGTGGGAAAGCGTCACCGACTTCACCGTGGCTTCGCGAAGGAGTCGGAAGGTGGTCACCCACGAGGAGGTCGCCAGCTGGGGAGGGATGGAGCCTAAGCAGCTCGCTAGGCTGGCCTCAGCCCACTGCATGGTGGTAAGTGGCTGCTTTTTTTTCTTCTTTTCCCTTCTCCTTCTTTTTCCTTTTTAGACCTCGGCCTTTTGACGGCAGGTGAACGCCATTCACGCCATGGCCCTCTAAAACAACATTCACTCCGGCGACGCTCTTGCTCAAAGGTCAACCATGCAGAAGCTCCAAGGCGAGCTTGACTGGGCCCGAGGTGAAGTCCTTCAGGCTCGAAAGGGGAGCGAGGCACAAGAACTGCTCGTCCGGGACCAGGAGGCACAGATTGCCCGACTATCTGAGGAGAGCACTCGCTACCGGGAGGAGTCTTCGAGGGTGGTAGCAGAGAGGGAGCTTCTTCGCCAACAGGTCTGGGACATGGAGTCCACGCTTCAGGATCGGACTCGAAACTTCGACGCCATGGTGGAGGCTGAGCGAGCTAAGGCGGTGTGGGACTTCAAGGACTCTCAGGAGTACCACGACCTCTAGGTGGAGTATGGCTCGAGCTCCTACCGTTCTGGATTCAAACTCTGCCGTTGGCTGGTCCGGAAGAAGTTCTCCGAGCTCAACCTTGAGGGTATAACGATGAAGGGTA